AACTCACTCAGCATATGCTGCGTGGTAGTAAGCGCAGACGAGGAAAGTGCTGATATCGACATTCTATAAGTAGCACAAATTAATAGACCTGGATTGCACTCACAGAACCATAACAAAATGAACATAGAAGAAAAGCTCGTACGCTTGCACTCGGATGGGGCGAAGGGAAACAATGCATAGAATGGCCAATGCGACAACAGCAGTTATGCCGTATATGACGAAAGGTTCTTCGACGTACTGTTGGAATCTGTATCTTGTTAGTATATCACATTCTTAATGATGTTGCACATACGGTGCATCCTGGACGACCTTGCCGCATGCATGAACGCATAGCAGGACGAAAACAACTCTGGACATCATACGATGAACATAGTTAAGCTTGAAGATAAATCGTGTCATAAAGGGGTAGCAACAACTGTCGTAAGTAGACTTGCCTTATCATAACTGATACCGGTGATTACTGCAGACAATCAGCAAGCAAGTAAAAATGGTAAGTACACCAGCCGTACAGGACACCATATTGTTCTTAGTTCCAAGTGCAGTGATCAGTGGGAACTGGCTCGCGGCCAGCGAGCCCGAGCGGTTGCTCCAGTATGTAATGTCCAACATATGGCCCTCGAGATCGGTCGCTAGGAGTATTCTGTGAGCATGCAAGCAGTATTTGTAAAAGACTTACTGTTAATAAATGCCCATACAAAAAGAAAAACGATATACGCGAAGGTCACGAAAACCTCGGCCATAGTGAGGCTGTACGACACTCCCATTTCAAATGTCCAGCGGAAAGCAACAACGCGATATGCATTGGCAAGTCCCAAGGGAATGCGCCGCCAAGAAAAACGACGACGACGCGAATCAGCTTGTTCAGGATCGGAGTTCAGGGTTTCCTGACCGCCCCTGGAAAGCTTGGAATGAAAGAAAGAAGCCCACTGAAAGACAGCGATGATAAAAATGAATAGGCCAATGCAATACCATGCCTGTATTGGGTACAGCCGATTCCTGGCCACTCGCACCGATTTGTCGGTGGGACCCCCTGTCGATGCAAATTCTGGAAACATTTGGCCATACATGACTGGAAGAAGCAAGGGAACTTGCACTAAGAAGTTAGGCAGCTCCGGGGCTCTTTATACTCAACGGCATGTACCAAATAATATATACCCAGAGGGCCATTTTCTAGAACCTCGGATGCAAGGCCATTGCCTCGGATCAGCGAAAACGTTTGTTTTTGTGCCTTTGTAACTTAAAAGGTGAAACCGGAGGAATGGATTCAATGGTGTCTGAATCGGCCTATCAAAGTTTCTCTGCTCGTCAGTGCCTGGCGATAAAGGTTCAGAGACGACAATCATACGTGAAGCTCTTGTGGACAGATTATGAAATGGTGACTGGATAGATGTTCTGAGAAGGTTCCCCGCTCTATATCTTCTTTCATGGGCTACATAGAAGCCGAACTGTCAGACAAGGTATAACACCTAAAAGGGAGGACGCACTCCCCTTAAAGACAAGTTTTATTAGCGTGAGTAGCGAGCGTTGCAGCAAACTGCTAGGGATTCGGCTGAGTAGATATTGTCTGAAGATTCGGCCGCTTGTGACCTTTCATCGGCCGTGGTCATCCGGGCCATGCCTGACTCTGCACACCACATATCGGCAGCTCCTGGCTCGGGGCACGAACCCGATCACAGAGATTCCCCATTTGATCTTTCTGGGTTCTGTATACTTTTTGTGTTAATAACATTCATAGATGGTCCTTGGGAGTTTCAAGCTTCAATGCAAGTTAGAAGCTCGCCAACGAGTCGACCGCTTTGATCACCGCACCTAACAAAGTAAATTTGAAATCGAGGTAGAAGCGAAAAAGGATAGAAGGATAATAACGTATCGTCACAGTATTCGTAAGACTAACCTCGACCCGACGTTTTGGCAAGCTGCATCAAACACTTCCCAGAGTCTGAGGTACCAACTTGTTCCATAATGGCAGTGGGAACTGCAGCAGGACGAGTACTGACACGAAAGACGAGAAGAAAAGGTAGAGTGACATACACAATGATAAGATGCCATCAAGGCAGCTCTCATCAATCTTTTCACAAAGTCGACGTATCTGAATAAGCAGATTGTGCATTCTGAACTTCTGCCGCGGGTCCGAAGGGTCAGTCGCGTTGAGTCATCTGCACATGGGTCTTCTGAGGTAATAGTTGATAGTAGCCATTGCAGGAAGTCCTGACCTCATCATGATGGTGTCCAGAGTGTTGTGCCTGTTACAACTTACAACTTGCTAAGTTCGGCAAACTCCGGGCTGCAGCTCAAGCGTTCGTTGATGTCTCCGCAAGTCATTCTGGTGACTGGTTGCTCAAAAGGGGGGATTGGCTTTCACCTGTGAGTACTGCCCGAAGGTTCCGGACTTCAATTAATACTAATAACGAATAGATGTGAGCATTTCGCCGAGCGAGGATGTACGGTATATGCCACGTCTCGTCGGCTGGAGACAATGGAAGGCTTCAAGCACCCAGTGGAAAAGCGTGTCATGGACGTGACTAGCGATGACCAGGTGGCGCTCACGGTACAATCCATTCTGGAAGAGCAGGGGAAGATTGATATCGTTGTGAATAACGCCGGTGCTATCGCAATTGGTATGTCAAACCTTCTACGACGGGCCATTGTACCGATTGTCACGTTCATTTCTCGCAGGGCCGTTACTTGATACGTCATCGGATCAGGCAAGACGGGCTTTTGACCTCAACACAATCTCAATCCTGCGGGTTGCGAAGGCTGTCATACCATCGATGGTGGAGCGTAAGCAAGGGCTTATCATCAACATTGGGTCCGTTGCAGGAAACATGTGAGCACAAGGGGATCATCTGACTTTCAGCTGACCCATCCCAATAGCCCCACTGCATGGAATGGGTTATACTGCGCAGCCAAAGCAGCGGTTCATGCTCTTAGCGATGTTTTGACCATGGAATGCAAGCCTTTTGGTGTCAAAGTGATGTTGGTGGCTCCTGGCTCCGTCCACTCGAATATCAGCGCTAACCAAGCAGCCACCCTTCAATTATCCCCCACGTCCATCTACAAGGATTACTTCGATAGGGTGTACGAACGCATGCACATCAGTCAAGGCGAAGGGTGTATGCCTACCGACGAATTTGCACGACGCGTGGTCGCAAAGGCGCTGAGTCCCAACCCCCCAGGTTATATGTCGCTCGGGGGGAAATCTCGTCTTATGGCGTTCTTACAATGGCTTCCCCGTCAGCTTGTCATTTGGATCGTAGGATCGCAGTTAGTGTGGAAGAAGGGCTGAGTAATCTATGTGATCATGTCTTTTTTTCCATCTTTTGCCCTGGACAGATAGAAATGACGGACGGGAGCGCACTCTATTAGATAACGCTCATATAGTAATTACAGCACTTTCTTCCGTTTCGGCCTCACTATCAGCGGCATCAGCGTCTGTCTTTTTGTTTCCACGTCCATATTCGAGACTGTCTTCGCTGCAAGCCCGCTTCTAGCTTCCTTCGGGATTTCCGGGAGCGGGTAGTGACATCAACTGGGCTGGGTTTGAAGTGATTGATATGATAATTGTGGAATATTCACGCTGTCAACCAAACTTTGGCCAATACCAGTTACAGATTGCTGAGCGGGACGCGCAGCTTGATGCAACCAGCTGACGGAACTACCAACCTGGGCGCTGACAAGACAGCTCGATAGGTCTTGCGTGCCTCTGTCAGTTTCACGCACGAAGCAGAGGAGCGTCGAAACCCTTGATGGAAAATTTTAGCTGAAATAACTTACTGCGCGCAAGATAAGTGATTGAGGTACCACAGCAGGGGCATCGTAAGCAAGATTTTCTGCCAGGTTCAGCAATGTGACTTTGCAAAGAAGGTCATTTGTAAGAACAAACAAAACATGAGAAGAAAAATGACCAGCCAGGACTTACAAGTTTGGGATATCCTTCGTTCCCCTATAGCATAGTCCCATTCTGAAGCAACTCCACCACTGGCAATAATACCCGTTCCCGCATGATTTCTCGCGCACCAACGCACCAGTTTCGTTTCGCACTAACACCGCCATCACTGACACTGAAATTTGAGACTGGGATCACTTTTACCGCCGATGGCTCTTACGTAGTTGATCTCAAAGACTGAGCCATTCTTTATGGCAGTTCTGACCAGTGTGTTTCAAAGGGAAGGGCATCGGGGGAGAGCAATAATGCGTGCGATGAGTGGTGAAGGAAGGCTATGCGTAAGGCATGCAAGTAATGATTCCGCGGAGATCGTTGGCAAGAGAGAAATCAGATCGTAAGGCTCAACAAGGGAGGCGTTCGCGTTCGTCTTGCATTCAAAAAGTTTATGCAGCTCGTGACTAGAGAGGTTAGGTGCTCACCAAGCCGAATCCCTTATTGCTGTCCTTATCAAGTATTATCGTAAGTCGCTTCAACAATACCACCCTTGGCCTTGGCCTTGGCCGTAGTTGCATAAGGAGTTCATCCAGAATGTTGTCATGGGTTTTTGGGTCAATTTTCTTTTTCACGATGTAATTGAACGGGATCACAGCGTATCCTACTGCATACGATCAGCACTGTTCTTACATGATACAGAATAAACAGACGGTGCCCAAGACGGTCCAGACGAGCCTCGATTCCTTTAATTGAGCAGAAGTGAAAGCGATCGGAAAGGGTTGAGATTGCTTTCCTCTTCTTGGTTGAGAAGATGAACCAGACAGCGCAGAAGCAGTGATCGTGAAATTAAGGTCGGGGTACATGTTTAATAGCCCGAGATTCGATGTAAGTAGTCTGGCCGTAGGCAGACAGAAGTCGTGACATTTCAAGTTAGCACACTCTAAATGGATTAGTCATCAAATCTCAAATCTTCTGTTGATAACGTTGAACAACTCACTTGTCTTGGACTTTTGGAGTGACTCAACCGCAGAATACGACGGTAATACTGTATGGATGTAGCCCAAAATAGAGATGTCGAGAGGAAATATGTACTTTCTCTTGCCCTCTTCGACCACAAAAATGACCACCGCAGGGGTCGAACCTGCAATCTCCTGATTCCGGTTAATCGTAGTCAGACGCGATGCCATTTCGCCAGGCGGCCATGCGAGTCGGAAGATATTTACACAACTTGCCTGGAGCAGCAGCAGCACCACTAGTGCTGGGCGCTGAACTTTGTGTTTGCTCTCGTGCGGCAAAGTTCTTAGTGAGAGGAGATGTATGCATAGATTGCAGCATTATTTGGGCGAACGCCCCGAAGGGCGAAC